GCTGCACCTTCTAGTTTAGGTTGCTATTATTTAAAGCAGTGTACTATAGTAAGTAATTTCTTATTATAGATCTTATAATTACCTTCTATAAAGCTTATTCTTTTTAAGAAGTATATAATAGGCCTAATAGTCCTGTCTAGCTTAGTCTAGAAGAGAACTCCTGCTACTATGTAGTCTAAGGCATTAGCTTTTATAAGTATTAGTAGTTTAAAGTTAAAGTAGTAGAGTATTAAAGCTTTAGTAAAGGCTTTTTTTAACTAGTTAAAAGACTATTAGTAATTTAAGTTAAAGTTAAATTAGATCTTTTTTTTAGTAAGTGTAATTATAAGGCTTACTAGCTATAAAAAGTTATTAATAAATTATTAGTAAAAGTTAGTAAATTTTATAAAGGCTTAAACATCTTTTATATTCTTTAAGTATTACTAATCTAGCATAGTTTAAACCTTAATAGGGTCTATTTAGATGCTATTTATAAAGATTACATATCTTAAATATGTAACCTTTAATTAGTAGAACTTACATTTATCTATATTAAGTTATAGACCTGCTTCTTCTATAGCCTTTAGCACTAGGTGTACATGCTATTTATGCTCTAAAAGGCTATTACTATAAATTAGAATATTATTAATATACATAGTGCAGAACATGTCTAGGTAGGGTTAGAGCAAGTTGTTTATAAAATGTTAAAAAGTACTAGACATGTTAGCTAAGCTAAAGGGCATTACTAGGTACTTAAATAGTTTATATTAGGTCTAAAATGCTGTTAGCTACTTATTACCCTTTACTATTCTTAGCTTATTAAAGGCAGTAATAATATTTAACTTTATAAAATACTTTACTTTACTTAGTTAGCTTAGAGTTTCTGTGGAGGATAAAATAGCCTGGCAGTAGCTGTTTAGAAGATTGGATAAAGTGACTCTGCTATCTAAGAGAGCTAAAGGCTCTCCTTATATACACCGAGCTTCGGAACATAATATCTCTAGATCCTGAGCTGCGTCCTAGGCTCTAAGCCCCCAGTCCTAGGCTCTAAGCCCCCAGTCCTAGGCTCTAAGCCCCAGTCCTAGGCTCTGAGCCCTAGCTAAGGCTCTTAGTATACGCGACAGTTTCTTATAAAAAAAGAATTAAGTATTAGTTTTTAATAGTAATAGTGTTTAGTCTTTAGTAGTTAACATAAAATTAAAGCCTACCTCTAGGTTTTTTTATAAATAGTATAAGTAACACTACTAGTAAGAAGCTAGCTTAAATAAACCTTTTTTTTAAGTTTTTATTAAGGTATTTTTAGAGCACTTTTAATTTATTTAGTAACATTTTATATAGTAGCTTATAACTAGGTTATTTACTAGGCTTAAAAGTTATTTAGTAATTATATAAATGTTATATTAAAAGCTTATTAAACTTGTCTTAAAAAAATATATAATAGGTTATAGTAGTTTTAAGGGACTATTATTCTTAAGTTAGTGTGTTTTTAGGGAGCTAAAGCTTAGTCTATATTAGAAATTATAACTATGTAGATTTTATAATCTAGTTATTAAGCTAGAGTTATAAATAGGGCAGGTTCTATATAGCAGATGTCTATTTGCTATTTAAGTCCTAGTTTATGTTTAAATTAGGTAAGTAAAAGTTTTTTAAAAGCTTTCTCTTTTTTAAGTTTAAGCAGTTATTAAATTATTTTATATAGCTTATTTTAGTAAAAGGCCTAGCTTATTAGCCTTACTTAAGTAGTTTTTCTCTAGGTTATTAAAAAGTAGGTCTAAAAACCTTCTATATTAAGTGCTATTTAGGTGTTATTTAAGTGTAAGTGTAAGTATATATCTTAGCATTAAAAAAAGTTAAAGTTTAGAACTTACTTTTAGTAATTAAAGGCAACTTTATACTAATACAGCTATAGTTATTCTAGGATTAGGTTATAACATTCTATGTTTATTACATAAAGTTTAATCTACTTCTTATAGTGTTAGTAAGTAATTATAATAGTTATAGTATAAAAAATAAAACTTTTTTTAAGTTATTTTTTATTAAATCTAGTTAGGTAAATTATTTAAGTAAGTAGTGTTAATTAAAGATTTAGTTTATGCGCTAGTTCTTTATTAATATAACCTATCTTATTTACTTCTAAGTTAATAAAAGCTTATATTAAGGCTAATATAGTTTTTTATTATAAATTATAGAAATATTAACTTAGTACTTTTAGTTATTAGTAAGGGACTTAGCCTATAAGTTAGCAAAGATCTAGTGTTAAATTAGTTCTAAAGGGTAACTTAGCTCTAGAATAAGCCTTTTTACAGGCTTTTACTACTATAGCTGCAGCTATGTTAAAAGTAGTAAAAAAAATTAAAGCTTAAAGATAAGTTAAAGCTCTTATAAAAATAAAATTAAAATAGTAAGAATCTTTAATAAGTGCTAGTAGCGCTACTTACATAGACTTAAAAAAAAGAAATAAAGTAGTTTTAAAAAATATAACTATGCTTACTACACTTAAAGTATTAACTTTTTTTTTTATAATCTTTACACTTTTTAAAACTAACTAGAGCATAATTTAAATTAATTTTTATTATATTAAAGTCTTTATTTATAACTGCGCTAGTTTAGGGGCGTATTAGAGCTTGTATAGAGAGGAACCTTATGTTATTATTATAGGTAGCAATTAGGTTTGCATACACATTAAGGTTGTTTAGGAGGGGTTCTTCTACTATAGCGCGTTGCAGTTTAGTTAAGAGGGAGTTATATAAAGCTATAATTAGACTTATTTTATTTAGGCCTATATTAAATATAAGTTAGTAGAACTTAGTAAAGTGTAAAGTAAAGCTTTTTTTTTTATTATAAAGTGTTTAGGTAACTTAAGGCTGTTAACTTTTTATTTAAGTCTTTATAAGTTACTTATAAAAACACTATAAATTAATCTAAGTTAATAATATTTTTATTTATTAGTAAGTTAATTAAAGCTGTTATATTATAGTTAAGTTAAAAGTAGGCATATAGTAACTAGAAGTGTTTAGAGGGGAATTAGTCTATGTTTCTTTTAAGTTTATATTAGAGCTTATGTAAAAAGAAAAGTAAATCTTTTTATTTTCTATTAAACAGTAGGGGATTAGAGAGTTAGTTAGATTTTATTACTAAGTTAGAAAAGTTACAGGTTATAGGTAGTATTAGATAGAAAAGAGTTAAGCTATCTCTAGACTTTTAGGTAAGCTTTAAAGCTAGTAAGTTCTTAGTTTCTACTACTATAATAAAAGTTAAAGCAAAAATAGACTACTTAATAACATAAAGCTATTCTTTAAAGTTCTTTTAAAAAGCTTTTAAGTTTATAACATAGTAGCTTTTTTATAAAGTAAGTGCTTTTTAAAAAGCTTTTTAGCTTACTTTAATAGCTTAGAGTTATATAAGTACTAAGCTTATTAGATTAAATTTAAAAGCTATTCTTAGCTAAAGTTTTAACACAATATAATGTTATAATTATGTATAAGTAAAGTTATAGAGCTTTATAGAGGTCTAGTTTAATTACTATGTAAAGTATTATAGTAGGTATAAGATGTTATGTAAGAAATAAAAAAGTTTAAAAGGAAATTAGTAATTAAATACTTAGCTTAGAAGTCTAAGCGCTTTAAGTATAAATTAAGCCTATTCTAGGTTTAGTTAGTGTTAAGGTAGTTTATGCTTAAGTTTATGTCTGTGTTGTGTTGTGTTTATGTTAGACATGCACTAATAATACTCTAGTACGCGTCTAATACAGTTGTGTCTGGGATCCGGGGAGGATACCGTGACACGTACTATGTAGCAGCTTTCGTCAAACGTTCCTCCTGTCTTGACAGTAGGTGCGCATATCTGACATTAATATAGGTTGTTTTACTTTTTTAAAAAAAGTATATAGGCACTAAGCTAAAAATTTTATATATAACTAAATTACTTTAATAATATATATAACTTTAATAAAATAAGCTTTATAATAAGATAAATATTTACTAACTATACTTATACTTAAAACTCTACTTTAAGCTTTAAATAACACTTTATAAATATACTAAGCTAGTTTATACTAACATAGCTTAGATTATGCTTAGTGTGTAAAGAATTAGCTATATTAGCTATAGCTACTAGCTAAAAGGAAAATCCTTACACATATAGCTTAAGTATATGCTTTATAATTACCTACTTTTTATTATTATCTAGCTTTTATAAGTTAGGTATAAAATTAGCTTATAAAAGTTATTTAGTGTATTAGATATTTATTATTTTCTAAAAAACTTTATATATAGCTATAGTATATTACTTTAAAAGTATTATATTTTATTTAAAAGCCTAAAGTGTAAGCTATATCTAATATTCTTTTAGTATATTTAAGTAGTGTTGTTAGAAATATATTAGTGTAAAGAAAGTAGTTTAGTAAAGTCTTAGTAAAAGTAAGTAACTTAGGTGTGTAAGCAACTTGCCTATAGAGTATGTTAATAGTAAAGTAATAAAGTTTATATTTATATAAAAGAAAAAAAATAAGTTGCTGCTAAACAAAAAAAACAATAGAAAAGCATTAAATAAATAAGCTTAAATAAAACAACTAAAGCTAAAAATAAAAGGTTAAGTAATTCTAGTTTCGTATAGGTTGCTGCTAGTCTTTTCTTTTATAAGAGCGTTAGTATAGATTGCTTCTAGCCTTATAGTATATTATCACTCTTATAAGAACTAGCAGTTTTATAATATACGCATTAGCCTCTATAAAATTTTAATTTAAACTTGATAAAAAAACCTTTAGTAGATTATAAAGCTTTATATTTTAAAGTAATAAAATATATTACTACATGTAACTAGATAATAGATATTCTTAAAAAAAAAAGTAGGTAAAGATTACACTAGCTAATTATAAAAGGTGTATCCTTGGTTAGCTAAAGCGCATAAAGGAAGTTCTTTAAAGCAAAGTCAAGTGAACCTTCTATTAATTAACTATAACACTTGAAGATAGGCCTAAATATAAGCTTCTTATAGAAATAAAAATCTTTTAATTTAGGTAGCAATTAGCTAAGTAACCTTCTTCCTAAATAGGCTGACTATACCTCTGCAGAGCTCAGATGGTTGAGTGGCTAATGACTTTTGGTAGGCGACTGTACATACGTTCTCTAAGAAAGGCTTGCGTACGCCTCATGATCAGATCTCAAGATCTTCCAACAAATCCCATTTCTCCTCCTCAATCCACTCCTCGACCAATACTCCACTCCCAGCTGGAATCTTCGCAACATGCTCGGCCCCATCAACCTCGTAGATGGCAACATTAGGCTCCACACATGGCTCATTGACATCGCGTTTCGTACCACCACCCTTAAGCCACTTGGCTGAAGGAACTAACATCCGATTAAATAATATTTCTTTTCAAATATCTCCCCGAATTCAGCTCTCGGAGCACTTACCAGGATAACTGAACCCAATACACTTATTCGTCACCTTATTCGGATTTTTGAAGGTCCCTGAATTGCCCTTATTACAGTCGGTACCGCTCCAGACCTGGAATCGGCTGTCGGCGGGCAGGCTCCAGAGAAGCTCAGAGCGAGCTGTGCCAAGGTTGCAGCAGTTGCCTTCTTGGATCCCGTTGCAACAGACTTTTGTGCCGCTGCAGGACGAGCCGGTGGTGCGGCATATATCGGCGGCTGAGGCGAAGCCGGTGATTAGGGCGAGGAAGGTGAGGGGCTGCATTTTGGATAATAGAAGCGAGGGAATTGAGGATGAGGGTTAAGGGAAGCTGCTACTGTCGATGAATAGTGAGGGTCATCTGAAGAGAAGGGCCTGCGTAATTTATACTTCCATTGCTCGCATCTTCGTGAGAAATACGCTGCACTTTTTACAACACCCTTCCCATCAATATCCTCGACGATGACAAGCCTTCCTCCATTTCCGTATCTAGGCTATAAAACGGTCGGAGTCGGTACAACCCAAAATTAATCCCTCTTCCCATCTGGTTAAATCCGTAACCAATATTCCTTGCAAAAACACTATTCAGGAGATGGGTAGAAGCAGGTGAGCTGCTGTGTTTCATTGCCTGGCATCCCAGATTGACATCACGTGAACAACTTTCTTCTAGAGCCCACCGCCCATACAAATCTCACGCTGATTTGTCATACACAATTACCATGGAGAGAAGGTAAAGGTCAGGCTTTATTGAGACCTGAGTTCAGTGCTTGTCATCTTCATTTGAAGGCTGCGGGTAATCCTTGGACTTAGTCAGGGTGTCGTGAAAAACATGACATTCAATAATTGTATAGATGCCGATTCAATACAATCTTAACTTGATACAATAAATTCCGAAGCATTATCATTGACCAGTTTCGTATGCCACTACTCCGCAAGCTACATTCGATATCTGACTTCACTCCCCGCATTCAATCCTCTCTCTCCCACCCCACAAGCGGATTCGCCTCTCTCTCCCTCAAAACATACTCGTGCATCTCATTATTAGGCGGATTCCTTACATACTGATTCCCAAACTCCATTCCTTTAGCTTCATGCAGCTCAAAATAGTGTAGGTGCTCAAACTCCCTTAGCACATCCAACGCCTGAACCCAAGACCCTGAAAGTAGATATGGGCCATACAATCGCAGTGACGTCAAAGTGGTCCTCACACTGCTGGCAAATAGTTTTAGGTCTATCAGAGTGGTAGGGACGTTGCGGAAGTAGATACTCTTGAGTGCGGGGGTTTGGAGAGGAAGGGTAAGGAATTTACTGAGCGAGACGGTGGGAATTTCGTAGAAACAGGGGTAGTCATCGAGACTGAGATGCAGCTCTTCAAGCCGAAAGGAACTGAAATACGCGGTTGTGAGGGTGCACAATGCTACCATTTCATCGACAGGCCGATCATTGTTCTCTGCGTATGAGTCTTTGCGCGCCCACCTCTGCAAAAAGAAGTACAAGTGCGTGGCGCGTGAGAGCGTTGTGCGAATCGTAGAGAGCTTAGCCTCCGAGAAGGATAAGCAGCGGAGATTAGCAGGCGCTGTGACTCTGATATCGAAGTGTTTAGGTCGGATATCCGTTTTGGCAAGCGTGGTGAAGAGATCCGAGATGATATAGGTAGGCGGAGAAGTATCCATCCCAGTCGTCCATGTGCCTTTCCATTGCGAACGATCCAGACAGCTCGAAATTAGGTCTTGTTCCGAAAGTGGCTCGTGGCGTTTTGAATCTTCCTTACTTCTGATCTCATAATCCAGGACCACAATCGCCCTCAAAGCGGTAAACTTCGATATCGCATCTACAAGCCTCGTAACGTATGCCCCATCCCTCTTAACCTCTTCCTGATCCTTAAACCGCCTAACATACTCTTCAAAAGTGGTCAAAATTAACTTCTGCTTCGCCGTTGCCTTCTCATTCTGAAATCCGTCAATTGCAACTGCATCCCATTCACCCGTAACCTGAAATGCATTATCTAGAGAAGCCGTACTTTCATTATGGTCGCGTCGGGCTGCCACACGGCGTTCCATCCGTTCAAGACGCTGATACAGATTTGATGAGGAATTCAGTGCAAACCGACCCAGGCTCTCTGCGAGAAGGGTGTCGTAGTAGGATACGTCGACGGAGAGTTTGGTTATGCTTTTGGAGAATATGGGGTGGTTGGAGAGGGCTTCAAGATGGGTGAAGGAATTGGGAGTAATTGAAACAGAGGCTTTACTTATTAGGAAGGGGGAGCTGGCGGAGTGGAGCCTTTTCGAGACAAGGCGCACAGATTTGATCTCGGGGATTGTGAGATTGGAGAAGCACGCGCTTAGCAGTTCGTTAGGGAGAGCTTCAAGAGGCATTTTGGGTAGAGATAGAGATGAATGATATGACATTGAAATGTTTTTGCTCTACTCAAACAGTGGCCTCAGAGTCGATTGTATGGTCAGGAACTTCGAATCTAGGCTGAAGCGGAAAGTTGATTGCCAGATCTTAGTCAGATAGATCCACACCGCCGCATGTGGCTGTGCATACTCTACCGCCCGCGTGCCTCACCTCTCCCATCCTTGGCGTGCATCAACAAATCCATGCACAGCTTGGTAAACCATCAAGGTCCAGGCCTAACTGCCGGAAATACTAATTCCTGTAGCTAGGGTCTAAGGATCTGGTATATCCAAAAATCGGAGTATTTCTTAGCACTGCCCTTAGGATAGTTTTTCCCCTACTAAAATTGTATTAGAGATTAAAATTTTAACAACATCTACTATATATTAATTAAAACTTAATAGAACTGCTTTAGGTAAGTTAAAGCTTTTAGTTTGTATAAAGAAGTGTGTATACTAGGTTTTTTAAGAGTAACAACGCGTTAAATTATAATGTATTGTGTCTATAGCATCTCTAGCCTTTCTAGTTAGCTTTAACTACTCTAGTATATTAAACTAAGTACTTAAGAAGCTTAATAATTATATTTATATAAACCTTTATTTGTTTCTTTTACTTAGGCAGTTTAAAATTACTATTACTATAAGAGGTATCAAGCAGGAAACACAGGTCACAGAGAGGCAATGCAGGATAGCGGGGTTGTAACGATTCTCATGAATCGTTCCATCTCAGGTCCCTTAGAACCTATCTAAAGGGTCTCTGTATCAGCCCTAACTATAACTTAACCCTGTCCTCTGCTGTTACCTCTATTTTCCTATATATTTAGTTGCACCTTACCTTTATAGCTAGCTTAGTAGTTTTCTAATATTCTTTATACAAGGCCTATAGGTGTTAATAGAATTCCTAGGTTATTAAGTCCCCACACACTCCTATATGCCTCTAAGTAGATTCCTACCGCATTTAGACCTATTGCCTTGCCTGTGCTGTTACATTATATTAGAAAACTTGCTATTGCTAGTAATAGCCTTGTTATAATATTACACTAATTATTTATTTAACTATGTCTAAGCCTAAGACACGTCTAATTTAGTTTAGGTTATAATACTTACACACTGTTATATTAAACTATTTAGTCTATAGATAGGATACTAGAGACCTTCTATTAACTAAAGCCTTTAGATTTAGAACTTTCTATCTCTTATAATTAGGATTACCTTTAGAAAAGTTGCGTAGAATGCGCTTGTAACAGCACAGGCAAGACAATAGGTCTAAATACGGTAGGAATCCACTTAGAGGCATATAGGAGTGCGTGGGGACTTAATAACCTAGGAATCTTATTAACACCTATAGGCTTTATACAAAGGATATTAGAAAACTACTAAGCTAGCTAAGAGAAGAGGTGCAACTAAATAATTAGAGGGAATAAGAGTAACTGCAGGGGACAGGGTTAAGTTATAGTTAGGGCTAATACAGGGACCCTTTAGATAGGTTCTAAGCGACCCGAGATGGAACAATTCGTGAGAATTGTTACAGCGCTAAGGTAGAAACTTAAAGACTACTAATAACCTATTAGGATTAGAGACAACTACTAATGCCTAACTCTTAACTACTAACCTCTAACCACTAAATCACTTCTAATAATGCCTTAAATTACTACTGCTACTCTAATAGCAAGAAACCTTTTAGGCACCCCTAACAATACCTAATGCTACCTTACTAAACGCACGCCTAAGATTAATAACTGTACAGATAGCAAAGAACTAACGTTTAGACAATAGCAGGCCTTAATTAGTAGGCTAGGCATTAATGCAGATCACTATTAGAGCGGGTGCGCACGCATGGCGTTTAGTTTAGAGGACACTGCTTGCATTGTAAAGGAATAATTTAGAGCAAGGACACGTAGCTAAATTAGACTAGTTTTAGTTTAAGAAGGCAGAGGACTTAACAGCAATACTTCCTACGCTGATAGGGACTATTAGTCTACAGAGGGGGGGGGGTAGTGTAACAATTCTTATGAATTGTTCCATCTCAGGTCGCTTAGAACCTATCCAAAGGGTCTCTGTATTAGCCCTGACCATAACTTAACCCTGTCCCCTGCTGCTACCCCTATTTCCCTATGTATTTAGTTGCACCTTGCTTTTATAGCTAGCTTAGTAGTTTTCTAATATCCTTTGTATAAGGCTTATAGGTGTTAATAGAATTCCTAGGTTATTAAGTCCCTACGCACTTCTATATGCCTCTAAGTGGATTCCTACCGCATTTAGACCTATTGTCTTGCCTGTGCTGTTACAGGGTGTAACGAGAGTAAACCTTAGGGTTGAAGGCAGAGGTACGAAGGTCGAGGAGACTATATACCCCGTGCCAAGCCTAGGGTACTCAGGGGTTGGATAGCTGTAACATAACTGTGACAATTACTAACTATAAAGGCGACTCTTTTTATATAGTTTAAAATATAAAAAAATAACTTAAAAGCCATAGCAGTGTTGTAAACTACCTAGCATGAAGCTTAAAAAACCTACTAAAATTAGTAATAAAAATAAAGAAAGTCTATTTAAAAAGTTAATTAGTAGTAGATAAAAATACTAAGATAAATAAACATATTAGTTATGTAACAATTCTCATGAATCGTTCCATCTCGGGTTGCTTAGAACCTCCGGAAGGTCCTTGTATCGGCTCCGACCCTAATCTAGCCCCGACTCTGCCCTGCCCCCTGCTGTTACCCCTATTCCCCTATGTATCTAGTTGTACCTCCTATGTAGCTAGCTTAATAGTTTTCTAATATCCTTTTGTACAAGGCCTATAGGTGTTAATAGAATTCCTAGGTTATTAAGTCCCCACGCACTTCTATATGCCTCTAAGTGGATTCCTACTGCATTTAGACCTATTGTCTTGCCTACGCTGTTACATTATATTAAAAAACTTACTTTTACTAGTAACAGCTTTATTATAATATTATAGTAATTATTTGTTTAACTATATCTAAGCCTAAGACATGTTTAATTTCGTTTAAGTTATAATTTTTACATACTATTATATTAAACTACTTAATTATATAGATAGAATACTAGAAACTTTCTGTTAACTAAAGCTTTTAAGTTTAAAACTTTTTATCCTCTATAATTAGAATTACCTTTAGAAAAGTTATGTAAAGTGTGCTAAAGTAGAAACTTAGAGACTACTAATAACTTATTAAAATTAAAGGTAACTACTAATGTCTAGCTAACTACCTTTTAATTTAAAAATTAAAATACACTCTAGCTATAGTAAGCCCTCTAAAGTTAATTAATAATTTATGTTAATAGCTAAACCTACTTCTGCAGCTTTTAATGCTATACTTTTACCTAATTTAAAGTTAACCTCTAGTAGTATACTTATTAATAATTAGATTACTTAATTATAAGTATAGCTTAAGCAGCTAATTTAGCTAAAGACTACTAGTTAACCTCTACTAACTACTAAATTACCTCTAATAACGCCTTATACTACTTTTACTACTTTAAGTACAAAAGACTTTTTAAGTACTACTTAAACTTATTAAATTTACTTTACTAAATGTATGCCTAAGATTAGGATTTTTATAGATAGTAAAAAACTTATATTTAAATAATAGTAAGCTTTTATTATAAATAGACTTAATATTAATTTAGATTACTATTAAAGTAAGCGTGCACAGATAGTATTAGTATAAGAACATACTACTAGTGTTGTAAAGAATTACCTAGAGCTAGAATACCTAGCTAAATTAGACTAGTTTTAGTTTAAAAGTATAGATAATGTAATAAAGCTTTTATAAGCTTATTTTATTACTAGCTAAAAAAGAAATAAGGTGTAATAAGCGTTTTAGATTCTTAGAATAGATAAAAAAAGCTATTTTTTACATTTAAAGCGCGCTTTATTAGTATAGCTATTAAAAAATTAGTATTCTAGTTAGATTAGTTTTTCTATCTATAAAAAAAGCTTTTTTCTAGCCTATAGGTACCTAACTATAGCTGTCAACACACCTAGGCAAACTTCTTTAAAGCTATAGTAGCCTATCTTACAGCGTATAATCTAAAGAGAAGGATCTATAAGAAGAATCTAGTTATTCTATCTAAATTATCTTTAATAGTTAAATTACTTTTAACTAATAATAGAAACTATTAGTTTATAGAGAGGGGGTAGTGTAATAATTCTTATAAATTGTTCTATCTTAGGTTGCTTAGAACCTCTAGAAGGCCCTTATATCAGCTCTAACCCTAACCTAGCCCCAACTCTGCCCTGCCCTCTACTGTTACCTCTATTCCCTTATGTATTTAGTTGTGCCTCCCCTGTAGCTAGCTTAATAGTTTTCTAATATCCTTTTGTACAAGGCCTATAGTTGTTAATGGAATTCCTAGGTTATTAAGTCCCCACGCACTCCCATATGCCTCTGAGTGGATTCCTACCGCATTCAGACCTATTGTCTTGCCTGCGCTGTTACAAGTTATAAAAAAAAAGTGTATATTTTTAACCTACTATTTCTTATTACTTTAAAGACTATAGATAAAGTAAGTGTATATTATAGCTTTTTTTTATTTTATATAAAATAATTTAGTGTTTTTAATAAGTTGATTTTTAATAAAAAAAACTAGCTAGTAGTATAACATACTCTATAGGCAAGTTACTTACACACCTAAGTTGCTTACTTTTACTAAGACTTTACTAAACTACTTTTTCTACACTAATATATTTCTAATAACACTACTTAGATATGCTAAAAGAATATTAGATATAGCTTACATTTTAAGCTTTTAAATAACACTTTATAAATATACTAGCCTAGTTTATGCTAACATAGCTTAGATTATACTTAGTGCGTAAAAAATTAGCTCTATTAGCTATAGCTACTAGCTAAAAAGCAAATCCTTATATATATAGCTTAAGTATATGCTTAATAATTACTTAATTTTTATTATTACCTAGCCTTTATAAGTTAGCTATAAAATTAGCTTATAAAAGTTATTTAGTATGTTAGTTATTTATTATTTTTTTAAAAAAACTTTATACATAGCTATAGTATATTACTTTAAAAGCGTTAGATTTTATTTAAAAGCCTAAAGTATAAGCTATATTTAATGTTCTTTTAGCATATTTAAGTAGTATTATTAGAAATGCATTAGTGTAAGAAAAGTAGTTTTATAGAGTCTTAGTAAAAGTAAGTAACTTAGGTGTATAAGTAACTTACCTGTAGAGTATATTAAGCTAGTTTATGCTAACATAGCCTAGATTACGCTTAGCGCGCAAATAATTAGCTATATTAGCCACAGCTACTAGCTAAGGGGAAAATCCTTGCGTATATAGCTTAAGTATATGCTTAACAATTACTTGCTTCTTATTATTACCTATTCTTTATAAGTTAGCTGTAGAATTAGCTTATAAAGATTGTCTAGCACATTAGTTATTTATTATCTTTTAAAAGACTTTATGCATAGCTATAGTATGTTACTTTAAAAGTGTTATGTTTTATTTAAAAGCTTAAAGTGTAAGCTATATTTAATGTTTTTTTAGCGTGTCTAAGTAGTGTTGTTAGGAATATATTAGTGTAGAAAAAGTAGTTTAGTAGGGTCTTAGTAAAAGTAAGCAACTTAGGTGTGTAAGCAACTTGCCTGTGAAGTATGTTAACATTTAGTTATCCTATATAATTTTAGTAAGGAAAAAAAAAAGACATAAGGAATGCTTAGAAATGCTTTGATTTCTGCATATAATAGATCGGAACTGCTCCTATTATCCCATGCACCCCACTAAGATCGACAAGCTGCCCCTCTCTACAATAACGATAATAATATATCTTCCTGGTGTCATAATGCATAAAAATTCCAACAAAAAAAAAAGGCGAAACAGCATCCACTGGATCATACCTCGAGTACACGGTGGGCCGCCACTAACGTCATACGTACAACTACATATACATATCAGTCTTAGGATTTTGAATTTTGGAATACGTCAAAAGATGATCTTGCCGTTATTCCTCTCCTTAACTTTGGAAACGATCCAGGCGGTGCCGTGAACACTGCAGACGCGAATATGGCCGAGAAAATGAAAGCGGTACATTATGAGGCCCCATTCAAGGTTTCCGTGAAGGAGGTTGAGACACCGAAGATTCAGCATCCAGATGATGTGATTATTAAAGTGACGACCAAAGGTATTCAATCACTCTCATACGCGGCTTGAGGCTAAGTCTAGCTAGAATGATAGCGATCTGCGGATCGGATCTTCACATGTATCAAGGTCGCACAGCGGCAGAGACAGAACTTATCTTTGGTCATGAGAAAATAGGTGTTGTCATCGAAACCGGCCCAGGAGTAACGTTGTTGCAAGAGGGCGATAGAATTGCACTTCCGTTCAATGTTGCAGATGGAAGGTCTCGCAATGGTGAGGAAAGACGTACAGCATTCCTTATTGGGTGAGTAATAACACCTTTGCTCAACATTTCAACATTAGTAATAGGTGGCAGTGTCAATACAGGGTTCGCCGGCGGAGCATACGGATATGTTACCATGGGGCCATACCAGGGTGGTCAAGCACAATTTCTGAGAGGACCTTGTGCCGATTCCAATGCATTGAAATTGCTGAAAGGAACGGAACATGAGGCCGACTTTGCGCTTTTGGCGGACATTTTTCCAACGGGATGGCATGGGCTGACTCTCGCGGGGTTCAGGCCAGGGAAGACTGTTGCAGTATTCGGAGCTTATAGGCGAAGTTTCAAGCAATAGCCGATTACTAACATGTCCCAAGCCCCATTGGCTTGATAGCTGCTTATAGTGGCATCATCTGAGGCGCGAGTAGCGTATACGTCGTGGATACTGTATCCGAGCTGTTGGAGGCGGCGAAGAAGATCGGATGTATACCAATTGATTTCAAGAAGAAAGACCCAGTCGAACAGATCATCGAGCTCAATGAAAGAATGGTAGATCGCGCCGTAGAGGCGGTGGAATATCAGGCGGTCGAGACTCCTGGAAGCAAAGAAAAGCCGAATATCGTTTTGGACCAGCTTCTCATGGTAACGAGGCCGACTGGTGGACTGGGGATCCCGGGTCTGTATGTGCCCGCAGATCCTGAAGCACCAGACAAGAAAAGCAAGAAGTGCCAGGTTTTGCTGTCCTTTGGGAAACTGTTTGAAAAAGTCAGTTACTCCAATAGACAACACTTTCACAGCTGATTATTCGCAGGGTCTAACGTTGGGAACGGGACAATGCAACGTCAAAGCGTATAACAGATATCTTCGTGACTTAATCATTTCCGGTAAAGCAAAGCCAAGCATTGTAGTCTCTCATGAGATTACTATCGGTGGTGCCCCTGACGCGTATGAGAAGTTCGATAAGAGGGTAGATAGGGACCCGAAGGTGTTGATACATCCAAATGGACCCCTCTAGGGTAGAGCTTCAGCTTTAGGGTACAGCATGCATAGGGTGTAATTTGGACGTACATCAGCGCATCTATTTTTGTGTTCAACAGTGCACTCCATCTTAGATCGGAGCGCAAGCCTGATCATTGCCTGCTCATCTTCCCTAGTAGTGCATCATTAGTCGGGGGGTGCGCAATGTCGATTGACCTTTTCCGAAGCTTAAATAGTATCTTTTTCGACAACATAAGCCTTCACAATCTTCACCTCCTCCACAGGCCTATCCTCCCTATCCGTCTTTACCAATCCCAACTTCCTCACAATCTGCAGCCCGCCTGACACCCTTCCAAATATCGTATGCTTGCCATCCAACCACGGCGTCGGCGCTAGCGTAATAAAAAACTGACTGCCATTCGTATTCGGGCCCGAATTAGCCATCGACAGAATGCCCGCCCCAGTGTGCTTGAGGGAGGGTGTGATCTCGTCTTCGAATTTCTCGCCAAAGATGGAAGTTCCACCACGGCCTGTGCCCGTTGGATCCCCACCTTGGATCATGAAGTTGGGGATTACACGGTGGAATATGAGGTTGTTGAAGTAGTTGCGCTGGGCGAGGGTGGCGAAGTTTTGGCAGGTCTTAGGCGCATGCGTTGTGTAGAGTTCGACCGTGAATGAACCCTAGGTGCTTTATTAGCAGGTCTAGGAGAACGAAAAGAAATATTCCTTCCCTACCAAGGTAGTTTCAATTACAACCTCAGTAGCCATCTTGAGGAGTTGTGTGGAGTACAATGACAGTCGTGGGCTAGTTACGACCATGTTGAGCTCTCACTGAGAATTTCATATCGTGAAAGCCACAACTGCGCCACACTTATGTGTGGCTACAAAGCTGCTTCATTGATGAATCAGAACTGAAGTCCACCTCTCCAACACAATCTAACACGAATCAACTAACATGGATCTCTCCACCTGGGCACTCCCCCAGCTCTCTAAGATTCTCCCCTTGGATGACGAGTCACTCAAACAAATTATCTCATACTCCGAAAGCTTACCAAACAAGGAAACCGCAGAACATCTCCAAAGTTTTCTTGGAGATAGCCCGCAAGCGTTAGAGTTCATCACATCCTTCAACAATCATCGAAAGCTTCAGCAATCTACCACTGCTAGCCAAATTCATTCATCAAATGAGCTCTCAGAAGTTCCCAAAGCAAAGCCCCGCAAGAAGAGAGGCGGAGGTTTAGGCAAACTTCCTCCACCACGGCAGCCAGAGAGTTATGGCAATACCTCTGGCGGGTATCTAAAGAAAGAGGAGGAGGAATACATGGCTGGGGCATCGAAGCAGAAGGGAACGAAAGCCAGCGCCTTCGCTCTAGTTGATAAACCAAAGGCCGTTCAGAAACCAGCCACCGGCTCTAGGTCCAGCTCAGCAACGCCAGCATCAAGGGGTATATCTCCAGCACCCGCGCCAAAGCCTCCACCATCCGCAGCAGGCCAATTGATTTCCGATGTTAAAACGTCCCGGAACTCGTCTCCAAAAGCCAAAGCCAAAATCAGCGTCCAAGGCGGGACGTCCATGCAAGGTGCCTCTACCACCCTCAACGACCTCGACTCCGCTATCCGCGCCCTAGAAATCCAAACTAATCCAACCCTCCCATCTACTCAAGATGACATGAAGCGAAAATGTAACTGCATGGCAGCCCGCCATCCCCTCCTTGAAGCAGCCCCCAACTGCCTCAACTGCGGCAAAATCATCTGTGTAAAAGAGGGCATTGGTCCCTGCACCTTCTGCAACGCGCCTCTCCTCAGCGCCACAGAAGTGCAATCCATGGTCCGCGTGCTACGAGAAGAGCGCGGGAAAGAGAAGATGGCCGCAAACAACGCCTCGCAGAAGCGGGCAGAAGTGTCTCTAGCGCCGCGGCCATTCTCAACGCCTAAGTCAGCCACGCCTGTGTCCTCTAACCCGCCGAGCGACTCCGAGAGCGAGAAGTTAGCGAAGGCGAAACTGCATCGTGACAAGCTCCTTGCGTTTCAGGCACAGAATGCGAGGCGGACGCAGGTCCACGACGAGGTTGCCGATTTCGAAGTTCCAACTGCGGGACTCAGCATGTGGGCGAGCCCGCAAGAACGCGCTATGCAGTTGAAGCGGCAGCAGAAAGCGCTCAGAGAACAGGAATGGAATGCGCGCCCGGAATATGAGAAGAGGAAAATGGTTGCAAGCATCGATCTCGTTGGTGGAAAGATCGTGAAAAGGATGGCTCCTGCTGAGCGACCTACGACACCTGAGCGCGAGGAGGATTTGCCCGCACCGATTAAAACGCATGATCAGAGATCAGCTGGTGGGGGCGCGTTTAGTAAAAATCCGTTGTTGGGTGGCTTGATTCGGCCGACCATTAAGATCGAAGGCAAGGGGAAGGAGAGGGAACACGAAAAGAAACAGACTTGGAGGAGGGTGCAGGATGATAATGAGGATAATGAGCAGTGGATTCTGGACGGAGGTGTGTATGGAGGACGGGAGGAGGAGCCGGAGAAATGTGGATAGTCGATTAAACATGGATATCTTGGAATTCGTTCGTCTGTCCAAATCCCTGGGTTGAATCGTACGATGCTACTAGACCATATCCTCACTGCGCAAACTCACTGCAGAGTTCTGAATCCGTAGATGAGCTGCCTATATTATTTTGCTATGGGTCCATTTGCGATAGGAATGGGAGGACTTGTTCGAGCAAAGTAGAGTAATAGACCGCATCTATACTGCAGAGCGAAAAGTCCCAACGCCAAATAATACCTTTCTTCTCGCAAAGTTTCTTTACCATCTTAACGACATATATCAAATTTCTATCCTTTGAAAGGCTCCTTACCCTCCCCCTCCCCCTAAACACCAACTTCTTACCTCTCCATCTGCCCTGCCTTCACCGCGCTCACCACTCTCACCAATACAATCCAAACTTGGATCTCAGCTTGATCGTTTAAATTTAAGAAACCAGAACGTTTAGTAAGCGCAAGACTAACTTCGGGTACGCCATGACTTGTCCACCACACCCGCGCAGCCTAATGGAAAAGGGAGCAAAAGCTTCCCATATGTGTTTCTTTGAAAGTTCCCCTTGGGGCTGAGTAATACCTCATTTTGCAACCACCCTTCTACGTTGAGAGTAACCGGCTTATTGCAGTAAGCTTCGTGTTGATGAATGCCGTAGATATTCACTCTGACTTGTGTCCTCGATGGGATAATATGCCCACCTACCTCCGCAAGTCCTGCTTCCTTAGGGAGCCCGCGCTATGGCATATTGCAAAAAAGAGTAGTAGTGTAAAGGACTTATGGACGCAGGCTCGGACGTAAACCCACGACGCATGTTTGGGACTGTTGTAGATATCCGAGGCCTCATTTAAGGTGGTGCGGATTTTAGCTGCAATACAGGCATAACAGGGTGGTCATCCGGAGAGACAGAAGGTTACTGCGAGGGCAATTGCGGTGGTACTGCCGCCTGTGCGCATACAAATAAACATGGTTAGTTTGCACAGCTCCGAAAGAGATATTTTGATAGAAATATGTGCCTGCGGACATGAAGAAATAGGCCTCAAACTATATATAGGAGAGGTACTTCCCTACCTCTATCTCAGATTCCTTGACATTGGGAACACTAGAGTAGAGACTCTGTCTTGCGTGTTTTGTTGCAAATAGAGAGGTGGTGTAAGCATGCAGCTATGTAGAAAGCTGATGAAGTGAAGTGTATTGTTCTAAGTCTAAGTGCTCTGTTGCAGAGTATTTATTTACATCTATAATAGCAGGGGTAGTGAGGGCCATGGAAATGGCTTAGGGGATATAGCGAAGGTAAGTAGGAGCTATAGTAACAGCCGTAGGGGCTGTTGAGGCGCAGGGAAGGAAGGTTTCTGTACCATAAATGCGACATGTTTCCCTTCCGATTAACGAGAGACAATCAAGTCCATCAAGGTCTTATAGATTCTCATCTGAGAGGATAAGATAATGTGTAACCTTGCAGGCACGGGTTATGAGAGGAGTCATGCATTGTGGACTGAGGGTCCGAAGAGCTATATGATCTATATAGTATTGATAGACCCCAAGCCCAAGGTTGGTTGGGCAGCCCATCGTAGAGCCCTTTGGCTTACATAATGTATACAAAACAACTCCCATCTCAACCCTCTGGATAGATGAGGGGTCACGTGAAAGCTCATTTGGTAACCGCACCTACAATCAGGACGCCATCCCGATAGATTTTGCTCAGCTTGGAAAAGATATTATTTGAATATATATTTCGAATCGCTTGTGAGACCTTTCGGAGGATCTATGGATGGATTGGTTCTCGGGGGTGTCGAAGTCGAAAGCGCTTCAAGGAGGCAGTTTCCGTACGCGGAAGACCTTGCAGACAACCTGCGCATTTCTTTCGAGGCACTCTTTTCGCACTTCATTGTCTTCCCACCACCTTACATCCATACCACATTCTATCTTCACGAAATCTCCCCACATTGTTTGCCATACCATGTGTCCAATCTCAACTTGGAGTCGCTCATCAACACTTGCACCCTCATACGCAATTGCTGGAAATTTCTGTACTATACAAGAGAGCTGACCACTGAAATCAGTGGCCGTTAGTTCACTCTGCTGATAATCCACAAACCCAGCTTCTCGTATCCACATTGGCACGAGCAATGAAGGCCGAGAACACCGGAACGATTTCTCCAAGTTTAGCAAGAGATATTCCTCAATCCAGTGATTGAGAAGATTGCCAACAGTTTTGGGATCAGGAAGCGGGTCGACGATTCGAAATTCCATCACCCCATCAGGTGCAAGGACACGATGGGATTCTTGGAGAACAGATAGAATACGTGAGGCTGGAAAGCTTGCTGCCAGAGTGTCGGCCTGGATACGTTGGATTGATTCATTTGGGACTGGAAATACTCCCGTATCCGGATCTAGGACTAAGTTTAAGACATTTGGTGGACTAGGCGTTATCTCACATCCGATGTCTTTTAGTATTAATCGAGTAATCTTTGCATTTTGGTGATGGGCTGCGGTAAAATGGACATGGGCTAGTTTATAGATTAACTCCGGCAAAGTTTGTCAAATTCGATAAGAGGAACTCATTACCTTCGTCTCCGGCTATTACGAGTATTGACGTCAATGCTGGCATCTGCGACGCAGCTTCTGTGAGCAGTGGCTGACTAGCTGGACTCTGTTCACGTCTTGAAGATGAAAGCCGGTGTAAAGACGCAAGTGCCCAGAGATCCTTCTCTAATGTGAGATCCCGAGAGTGTATTCCTATCATCTTACTATCCCATTTCTCCGTTATACGCGCAAGTGCAGTCTCGGGTGGTGCGTAAGACATTCTCTGAATATATCTTTGGAAGTATTGCGTAGAAGTCCCTTTGATCGATGAAAATGGAGAAGTAATGCTAGCGGAAGATGAAATTAGGGCAGATGAACGTAGTGATGAATTTCGAGAAGCTGGGGAGTATTTGTGTGTCTGCGGTATATCGCCTTCGTGAACGGCACCCAGGGTGCGATCAGGTTGACAATTTATTGTGTCGGCAGGCAGAAATCTAGCTTCAATAAGCGAAGTGCACGTTTTAGCTTAGGTATAGTATTTACTGGTGATTCTCTAGAGCAGGACTCTCATTTTCATCAGAAGAACATCGGCTCTGTCGGGCAATGTCTTGGTTTCGAAAATGGTCCTCGTGCCTCGGAGCAGGATACTTTGGCAACCCACCATGTTGACCTGACGTTCTAGTTGGGGGGCTGGGGACCGTGACAGACGCTGGCAGTTCAAACACGGGCTCGGATAGTGCATATGGATGCCATCTCGAAGGGCTAGAAAAGTCTGTCCTATTCTCTAGATACTCTTGCCTGTCGCCATACAGTTCCACAGGGTGCGAGTTGTTTGCTTTAGAGTGAGGGTATGGATAGGCAGGTCCTTTGTTTTCTTGAGAACCAGTTATGTTGAGTCCAGGTTGAGTTGATTCCGGTTGAAGATATTCCGATTTGGAGGTACGCTTCAGTTGTCTGGAAAAGGGCCAAAATTTCCCCCTCTTCGTCGACTGTGAATCGCTGCTCTTCAGGGATGCGCGATCGCGGTCCTTCGGCCCTGCAATTCTTCTCACATCATCTGCCATAGGTGTCCAGGTAATATCAGCGCTAAACATAATGTGACTTGAGCTTCGAGGTGGTTCGGAAGATGGTGTAGAATCATGCGCACATTGGTTTGAATGTCCACTGCAGCGAGCATAATGGTAGTAGTGGGTTAGCCGCACAAATGTCACACGTCCTCGCCTTAAGCGTGGAAATGGGCAAGAGTCAGCTTCTAACGCTACAGCTGAATGACAGGCGCCATTCGGCCTGAAAGATCCTACGACGTTTAGCCACACCGCAGACCTCACCCCATGTAGGCGCCATATGATAAGGGATATATCCAATGAAGCATTTCACGAAGCGAGGCCCGCCCAAAAGCGCTCAGGGATCTTCAGCCCTCTTAACATTATTGGCCCCTCCTCCCTATCTTTTTCATGAAAACATCCTCAATAAATGGCCGGATGCGTCAACTCACGCCTCATTGACTGTCCATTCGATAGAGCGTTGGATTCTCGGACTTACGAGAATGGCGCTCATGGCGAAGGTGTCTCAGCTTTATTGTGAGGCTGTAATGTCATGTCAATATTCCATGGTGTCAAATAAGTCATGCAATTCTCCAGCCTGGTGGAGGGATACTTGAACTCCTTAATCTCAACTTCTCCTTTCAAGTGTCTTCTTCATATCAGGTGTTAACTACCGCTATGGGGTATTTCGCGGCTTTAGGCCATAAAATTAATAGCAGCTTTGCTAAGACCACAGCCGGTCGCATCTTTCGTCTTGATGGCAGCGGCCATGTAAGTGATAAGGCTGAAATTGACGTTGATGAACAAGAGGTCTGATCTATTGTGTCTAGGAAAAGGAGATCAAAAATTCATACGTCCTAACTGAGATGCGCGCTGGTCTCACGACCTTCTTCACCATGGCTTATATTATCTCCGTCAATGCAGCTATCCTTACGGATTCTGGTGGAATCTGCGTATGTAACGATACTCAGGACGCAACCTGCTCAAAGGATCTGGATTATACAAGTTGCTTAATTGGTGGGCCCCCAAGGATATCTTTGAACACTCACTAACGTTGCTACTAGAAGTCCAGAGGGACCTCATTACCGCGACTGCAGCAATATCAGCCTTTGCATCTTGCCTCTTCGGGTTACTGACTAATCTTCCTGTGGCTCTTGCGTAAGTTTTCTTCCATAAAACGGATATCTTAGTGCATACTGACAGAGCTTCAAGACCCGGCATGGGATTGAATGCATACTTTACTTACCAAGTGGTCGGATTCCACGGTACCGGAAAGATACCGTACAAACTAGCCCTGGCGGCTGTCTTTGTGGAAGGGTGGATCTTCATATTTCTCGCCCTAACTGGCATGCGTCAATGGCTGGTTAGGCTACTGCCGACTTCGATCAAGATTGCCAGTGCATGTGGCATCGGTCTCTTCCTGGCCTTGATTGGGCTTTCATATCCAGCAGGTATTGGAGCTATCACTGGGTCCTTTCCAGCTCCTCTAGACCTGGGAGGATGCTTGCCACAGCATCTTGACAATTTTGGTCACTGTACAGGGCACAAAATGCAGAACCCTGCTGTGAGTTGTGGAATAATACGGTCTGAGGATCGATTGAGCTAATTAGTTTAGTTGTGGATTGGTATCTTTGCCGGAGGAATATTTACCGTTCTCTTGATGGCATACAAGGTGAAAAGTGCCATGATCCTGGGAATCCTTCTAGTTTCCATCATATCTTGGCCGTATGTTCTGGTGTCTGAACACTATTAATGGGCCGCTGACGATGAGTTGTAGGCGAAATACTTCATTCACCTACTTTCCCCATGATGATGCCGGCCAACAAAAATTCGACTTCTTCAAAAAGGTCGTAGGATTTCATCCGATCCACAAGACTCTGAATGTGATTGAATGGAAAATCAGCTCTCAAGCAGGGCAATTTATGCTGGCCTTGATTACCTTCCTCTACGTGGATATCTTGGACTGTACCGCTACCTTATACAGCATGGCACGTTTCGCAGGAGTAGTTGACCCAGAGAGGAAGGATTTCCCTCGTTCCACGCTTGCCTACTGCGCGGACGCGTTCTGCATTTCTATCGGCAGCTTGCTGGGCTTATCACCTGTGACGGCATTCATCGAAAGCGGATCTGGCATTGCAGAAGGGGGCCGTACTGGTCTGACTGCTGTTACTACGGGCCTTTGTTTCATCATATCTATCTTCTTCGCGCCCATATTCGCTTCCATACCACCCTGGGCGACAGGAAGTACTCTAGTACTTGTAAGCTGCACCCTAAGTAATGATACCACATAGCACTGACCAAGCAAAAGATTGGATGCATGATGATACGTCAAATTGTTTCAGTGAACTGGAAGTACATTGGAGACGCGGTTCCGGCTTTCGTCACAGTAATATTCATCCCCTTTAGCTATTCAATCGCATATGGTTTGCTAGCGTAAGTGGTGCTCCCGCACATATCACCATGAATAGGCTGGCACTGACACGGTATGTGCAGAGGGCTCATGACTTACATTGCAATCAATGGATCCATCGCCTTAATTGGAATCATTTCAAGGAATCGGGTCTTCCCTGAGGGCTTTGAGGAGCGTGAACAGTGGTCTTGTAAGTCCTAGTCGTTCCTACTTGTCGAGAGATCTTACAGTCCACTAGATAAAACAGACGGCGGAATGCCATGGTCCTCAAAAATCAACCATATACGAGACTGGTTGAAGGTAGAGTCAGAGAAGCCAATTCAATCCAGTCACTGAGGAGCAAATTGGAGGGTCCACTTCATATCTTTCAAATTTCACGTATAATCTATACCTATCCCAACTCGTTAGCTGCCAGTTCCTGGGGAAGGAACGTATTAGTTCGGAGATGTTGCTGTCTTGTTACTCATATCTCCAAGTTCCACGACATTTACTCACTCATTAAACATACGGCGAACGCGTTTGACAACTTGACAATAGTCTATGTAATAGCTGCCAAGATTATGTTACTTCTGGGGCGACCTCGTATTTCAAGGTGATTGAGTATTGACCTGCCGGTCTCGATACTTATTTAACCACCGCGATCAAGAAACCATCGTAACTCTTCTCGCCGACAGTCTGCAGGACCACTCCGTCCAGTCGGTCATCCTTTCCAATCATCTCCACCACCTTCCTAGCTCCTTCAATGCCTGGATCCTCGGTGTTCTCAAGCGCAAGTTTCCCCTGGCGAACGACGTTATCCACGATGATCTCGGCACCGGAATCACACATTCCAAGAGCTGCCTCGACGTAATTCCAGTTGTTCTGTTTGTCGGCATCAATGAATACCAGCTGAAACTTGCCTCTCTTGCCCTGCTTGATCTCCTCGGCGACCTGGGGCAAGACCTCCATTCCCGGCCCAAGCCTTACCTCAACCCGATCAGATACGCCTGCTTTTTGGAAGTTCTCTTGTGCAACTTCAGCACGACGTTTGTCCACTTCCACGCTGGTGACCTTGGTCTCTGGACTAGCATTGGCCATCCAGATTGTGGAGTATCCACCCAAGGTTCCAATTTCGAGGACGTTCTTCGCCTTCAATAGCTTCGCCTGAAGCATCAGGAACTTGCCCTGTGATGGCGAAACGGCGATGTCAGGAAGACCTTTCTCCTCAGAATTGGAGAGGGCGTACTCAAGTGCCTCGGGGGATGGATTAGAGGACTTGGGGTGGAGGTGGGAGAAGCTGTACCTGTCGACAGCGGTCCAGCGCTCGTCTGTTTCATGCTTTAGGTAAGACATTGTAGGAAGAATTGCCGGCAATTGTCTGTGAAAAGGAGATGAATGAATATTGATGCTTGAGGAAATGGGAGGGTTAGTAAGTCAATTCTGGCACGGGGGGGCTGATGATTTTATAGACAAATTTGTCACGGCCGCGGATGCCTCCTCTACCCGCACGCGCGTCCCGCATTACTGCCTCGTTGTCCGAGATGTACGATGTCGGAGGTAAATGTTGTTTCGAAGAGTTTGTGACTCAATCGCCCAATTTCTGGCGCACATTACGTCAGAGGAAGGATCTGATAAGACAGGTTAAATCCGAGGTCGGTGATTTCTTCTATTTCCTCCGAGCAGCTACATTTGCGCCTCAGTTCCGAGCTTCAACTCTTGGACATCGTCTGCTCTCCCTTCTTTACAGTATATTGTGCAGACAATATATTTGTCTCTAGGAGAGACGGCCCTCGATTGTAGTCAAGGACTCGCCAGTACCTCCTCGGCTATTGATATGTTCTCCATCCGCTTACTACTCATTTCCTTTCGCAACACTTCGGCTGTCACACGACCTTCAACCCTTCGAATTGATTGACCTCCCTCTTATTTGATCGAATAAGTTCTTCCATCCTCTTCATCGCATCCATGTTCAGCTGAAAAGCTGGATACTACCTATACCTGTTCTGGCCAGCACAGCGCAGCTAATCGCAACCTATCTAGAGTTGTTAATAATTAATCCTATTAATCTAGATTAATTAGACAGCTTAATTATTTAATCTGTTTATAATTAATCTAGGCCTAGCTGTTTTATTAATTAATTAATTTAAATCTAACAGATTAATTAGACAGATTAATAAAATACTATTTTTATACTATTGCCTATAGTATAGATACTTAGTAATACTATTTATAGTGTTAAGTTTCTAGAGACTAAATCTAAAGCTCTTATTAGCTTACTAAGTAAGACTAGTGTAATTTCTTAACTTTTTAAACCTTAACACTATAGGTGTCTCTATTATATACTGCAGCTATTTTTACTACTTTTACTATTAAATATTTATTTTTACAACACCTAAATTTTTATTAAAGGTATAAACTATAACCTTTTTTAAGCCTTTAAATACTGCGTTAGTTAGGTTAACTTACAAAGCACTAACATAAAGCCTATAAGTAATATTGTAATAAATGCTAATACTAATACTAATGTATATAGCAACCTAACACCTACGCCTACCTCTACTCTAGGCCTGCTAGCTATTAATTTAAACATAGCCTATAAAGGTATTATATAGACATGTATTTTTACTTATTATAAGCTCTTATTTAAACTTAAGCGCAAGTTAGAGAGCTAAGTGTAGTAGTATAGTTATTAAGTGTATTATAGCTCCTTATAAACGCTTTACTAGCTCTGCAAGTACTGCTACTGCTGCTGTACAATTAGCAGAGTCTATTAGGCTAGCATGTTAATGTTAGCTATTGCCTAGCATCTAGGGCAGGATATACTAGGGCACTAGCTTAAAAAAATAGGTGTTAAAACTAGCCTTAGAATCCTACCTAGTTAACTTATAATAATAGCCTAGTTATAAGCGCAAAGCCTCTAAGTGTCTTAGGGCGTTGCAAATATAATAGTAAACTTCTTTAATAAAAACGCGTTTTAATATGTAGTGCTTAATTAAGTTATTATAAATAATTAAGCTTTATATATAATTAAGACTTTAAACTTCTAGGCTATAATATAAGCTGCTAACCTGCTAGCTAATAGATATCTTTAGGCTAGCTAGCAGAGCTTACGTAACTGTATAATTACTAAGTATGTTGCCTACATGCCTACTATAATTAATTACTTAAAGGTGTTGCAATCTTTAATACACATCTTATTTAATAATTAGACGTTAACTAGCAGCAAGATAGCTATTATAGGTATATGCGTACACTATATTAACGCTGCTAGGGTCCCCTAGGACTATGTCCTTAGGCTTCTAAGCTTAACAGGCTCCTACATAAGTAATAATATTACTTTAGTTATTAATAATATATTAAAAGCTTTTTAACTTACTAAGAATACACTTAGTTACTTTATTTTTAATAATGCTACTAATAATAATACTACTGTTAAAGCTTTAGCTACTTTATATAGCTTTAACTTACAGCACTAATAACTATGTTACTTATGCTAGATTATTAACTTAAAGGCTTAGAAATTACTATTTAGTAAAGACTGTAACGCCTTTTAAAACTCTAACACTAATATCCTTAGTAAAGAGAAGTTTATAGAGAAGTAGTGTAAAAAGGGCCTCTTTAAAGTTCTATGTAATGTTTTAGTGTTAATATATACGCTTTAAGCCTGTTAACTTTTTTAACACTACTAGCTTAAGTATTAAGACTCTAGGGAGCTTATAATGCTTTAAAAAGTTATTAAGCTTATTAAGACTTAGTAGAACTTTTATTACTTATTTTTTAAAAGGGCTATTAAGCTCTGCAACCCTCTTAGAGACTACATTATATATAAGATTAATAAGTATAATTAAAAGCTAGCTAGGCGTTGTAATAATATCTTTTATAAAAAGCCACATCTTTTTATCTAAAAAAGAGGACTAATAATAAAAGACTAGGTAATAATTATAAAGTACATATAGCTACTACTACTCTTTAAGAAAGCAACATCTTTCTTTAAAAAAAAAAGTAGGTTAAGTATGTTTAAAGCTATATAAAAAGTCCTTTTAATATTTAACTAGCTAGTTAATACTATTAAGGATATAAAAAAGTAACTTGCTAATGTTAATTTTAATAATTTTAATACTCTAAAAAACTATGTTCTAATTAATTACATAGTAGCCTTATTAAAGCTTTTAATGTATTACACTAAGCTAGCTAAGTCTCTAGCGTATTATACTATAGCTTAGTTACACCTAGCTTATAAAAATTACTTTAAGTGTCCGTACGCAGCAGCAGCGTCGCGGCCTGGATACGAACGATCGCGCACGAGCAGGATCACGTATCTATGTCACATAATGCTCGTGCGCGAACCTCTGTGCGCAAACATCTAGATATCCCCCTTTTCCTCTATATAAAGGAAAGACAAGAGCAATAGAACTAGAAACATATTGCTCTTACTTTACCTACTTTATACACTATGCACACTGTACACTACTCTTACTCTTGCTACTTAAGTGCTTATACTATAAGCAGCTAGCTGTTAGAGCCTATTTAACACTAATTAGTAGTTAATTTAATTAACTGCAAATTAGCAAAAGTAATAATAAAGTACTTACGCCTTATAAAGTACTTTATTTTGTTACCTATTCTTTAGAAAGAGTAACAGCAGAGTACTTATGCTCTATAAGGTACTTTATTTAGTTACTTATCTTTTAAAATAGTAGATTAATTCTTTGCATTGTACAGTAAGCTCTGCTACTGTACAGAGTAAGGAGGAGATAGTGTAAGATGCACACTAAAGCCACTAAAGCTGCACAACCTAGTAGCTAGATAATAGCACATTAATCTTTTACATTGTACAGCAAGCTCTGCTACTGTATAAAGTAAGAAGGAGATAGTGTAAGGCGCACACTAAAGCTATTAAAGCTGCACAACCTAGCAGCTAGACAACAGCAGTACCTGCGTAATCTACTGCACAAGCAATTAACTCTACGCTTTATAAGGCACTTTATTTTGTTACCTATCTCTTAGAAAAAGTAATAATAAAGCACTTACACCTTATAAGGTACTTTGTTTAGTTACTTATTTTTTAGGATAGTAGATTAATCTTTTGCATTATACAGTAAGCTTTGCTACTGTATAAAGTAAGAAGAAGATAGTGTAAGGCGCACACTAAAGCTATTAAAGCTGCACAACCTAGCAGCTAGACAACAGCAGTACCTGCGTGATTTACTAGAAAAGCAATTAACTATACTATTATAATAGAATCTTATTAGTAACTAATAACTCTGCGTAATAATAGGAAGAATAAAGAACAATTCCTATTATATAAATAACTTATAAAGGATATAGGGATATTAGAGGCAACACTATAGAATAAGACTAGCCTAAAGTACTAGAATAACAAAATTAACATATTAGAGGCTTTAATAAGCCTATAGACTTAATTATACATAAGTTATATAATTACTAATTTATACATAATAACTTAGAAAGGCGCTACTTTTCTAAGTGTGTACATAAAGGATTTTAAAAGATAGATACTATAAAACTTTTTAGCACTTAGCTGCGCGTTTAAAAAGAAGCTTATATAAGTGCTAAAGGATAAAGAAATTACACTACAGCTAGGCACTAAAGGTACCTAAGCCTAGAAGCTATATAATATAGCATAAAAAAAGGTAATTGCACTAAAAAGGCTTTATACATAACCTTTATTACTATATAAGGCTCTGCACAGAAGCAGACTAAACATAATGCTGCTATTAACACTAAACATACTAGCATTACCTGCTCTTACACCTTAGCTAGCACTACACTAATCACTGTATAAACAATACATGCCACCCTACCTAACGCCTGCTCCACACCCTTAATTGTACACACCACCGCCTGCAGTAGTGTATGCACTACTAATACCACCTGTACAATCTATACTACATTACAACCTATATAAACTTCTACTCTAGAGAGAAACTGCTAAAGAAAAACTTTTAGCAAATAAAATTATATAATTCTAAAAAGTATAAAAAAAAATAATAACTACATAAGTTAACTATATAACATTTTTATAAATAAAATAAGGATCTTTATTAATTTATGTTAATAGCTAGATATTTAGAAAACTTAGTACATAAACATCTTTCTAGATATCCTAGAAGGTTAGGTAAATATGTACTATATGCACAACATAGGCCCTAGATATAACTAGAAGCATTTGTACAACACCTTAAGTAGTTACTTTAACACTAATGTAAACTATAGCTAGTACTAGATAGACTAGACAATAATAACCTTTACATAATGCTAATAAAAAAACTTTAATAAAAGTTTACATAAAGTCTTTAAAATAATAATTAATAAGCTTATGCTTATATAAAAAGCACTAGAAATAGAATTTTAAAAAGATGTTCTACTGCACACTGCTGTTATATAAGCCTGTTAAGGACAA